GCAAGAAATTAAAACAGGAAGGAAGGAAGGGAGGAAGGGAAGGACCACAAAACAACTAGAAATCAAATAACAACATGGCAGTTGTAAGTCCTTACCTATCAACAACAACACTGACTGTGAATAGGCTCAACTCTTAAATCAAAAGACACAGAGTGGCTCAATGGATTAAACAAAACAAAACAAAACAAGAACCAATTACATGTTGTCTACAAGAAACACAATTCACCTATAAAGACACACATGGACTGAAAATAAAGGCATGGAAAAAACATAGTCCATGCAAATGAAAACCAAAAAAGAGCAGGAATAGTTATACTTCTATCAGATAAAATAGATTTCAAGAAAAAACTGTAAAATGATATAAAGAAGGTCATTATATAATGATATAGGAATCAACTTTTGAATTGACTCCAATATCATTATAACAATTCTAAACATATATGCACCTAACACTGTAGCACCCAGATATATACAGCAAATATTATCAGAGCTAAAGAGAAAGACAGACCCCAATAAAATAATCGTTGGGAACCTCAATGCTCCACTTTCAGCATTGAACAGACCATCCAGACAGAAAAATCAACAAAAAAACATTGGACTTAATCTGCACTACTGATCAAGGGACCCAATAGATATCTGCAGAATGTTTCATCCAACAGCTGCAGAATACACATTCTCCTCTTCAGCTTATGGATCACTTTGAAGGACAGACCATATGTTAGGCCACAAAAATGTTTTAAAAAATTCAAAGAAATTGAAATCATATCAAGCATTTTCTCTGACCACAATAGACTAAAACCAGGAGTCCATAACAAGAGGAACATTGGAAAATATACGAACACATGGAAATTAAACAACAGGCTCCTGAATGACTAGTAGGTAAATGAAGAGATTAAGAAGGAAATTTAAAAATTTCCCAAAACGAATGAAAATGAAAACACAACATATCAAAACCTATGGGATACAGTAAAAGTGATAATAAGAGGACAGTTTATAGCAATAAGTACCTACATCAAAAAAAGCAGAAAAGCTTCAAATAAACAACTTAATAATGCATTTTAAATAACTAGAAAGACAAGAGCAAACCAAACCTAAAATTAGTATAATAAAAGAAATAATAAAGATCAGACCAGAAATAAATGAAATTAAAACGAAAACATAAAAAAGATCAACAAAAAGTTTTTTTTTTTTTTTCCATTTCAGGGTATTATGAGGGTATAAACATTTTGGTTACATTTTACGTCTTTGCCTCACCCAATCGAGGGTTGGAGGCATGCCCTTCTCCTCTACAATGCTCACCACGTCCCTTAGTTGTGGGTTTATCCCCCCATCCCCCCAATCCCTTGAGAATATTACTGCCATGTAAGCACCCTGGTGTTCATCAGTTAGTACCAATTTGATGGCGAGTACAAGTGGAGCCCATTCTTCTGATCTTTTGATACCTCACTTCAGATAATGGGCTCAAGTTCAATCAAGGAAAATATAAGAGGTGCTAGGTCACTGTCGTTTCTTATGATTGAGTCATGTTCCATTGTATACATATGACAAATTTTAATAATCCATTCATGATCTGACAGGCACTTGGGTTGTTTCCACATCCTTGCAATAGTGAATTGTGCTGCCATAAACATTCAGGTGCAGATGTCTCTATTATAGTGTATCTTTTGCTCTTTTTGGTAGATGCCTAATAGTGCTAATGCTGGATCGAATGGTATTTCTATTTTTAGCTCTTTGAGGTATATCCAAATTCTTTTCCATAGAGGTTGCATTAATTTGCAGTCCATGGATCGTGCAGAGGAAAGAATCTCAGAGCTTGAAGACAGAGGTTTTTTGAAAAGATAAAGAAAATTGACATGCCTATAGCCAGAATAACTAGGGAAAAAAGAGAGAAAACCCAAATAAATAAAATCAGAGATGAAAAAGGAAACATTACAACTGACACTGCAGAAATCTAAAGGATCGTTAGAGACTACTATGAGCAACTGTATCTCAATAAATTGGAAAACCTAGAAGAAATGGATAAATTCCTAGACACTTATGACCTATCAAGACTGAACCAGGAAGAAATCTAAAACCTTAATAAAATAATAATAAGTAATAACGTAGGAGCAGATACAAAGTTTCCCATCAAAAAAAAAAAAAAAAATCCCAGGGCACAATGGCTTCACTGATGAATTCCTCCAAGAATTCCAAGAACTAATACCAATCCTACTTAAATATTCCAAAAAATCAAGGAGGAAAGATATTCCCAAACTCATTCTGTAAGGCCTATATCATTCTGATACCAAAACCAGAAAAAGACACAACCAAAAAATTAAACTACAGGCCAATATTGCAGATGAACATAGATGCAAAAATCCTCAACAAAACATTAGCAAACTGAATACAACACATTAAAAAGATAACTAATCATGATCAAGTAGGATTTATCCCAGGGATGCAAGAATGGTTGAACATATGCAAATCAATCAATGTGACACATTATATTAGCAGAATGAAGAACAAAAGTCATATCATTTCAATGGACGCTGAAAAAGCATTCAATAAAATTCAATATCCGTTCACGATAAGAAACTCTCAAAACACTGGGTATAGAAGGAAATTACCACAACACAATAAAAGCCATATATGACAAACTCCAAGCTAGTATCACACTGAATGGCAAAAACTGAAAGTCTTTCCTCTCAGATCTGGAACAAGACAAGTATGCCCATTTTCACCACTGTTATTCAACACAGTACTGGAAGTTCTAGCTAAAGCAATCAGACAAGATAAAGAAATAAAGGACATTCAAATTTTCCTTGTTTGCAGACAATATGATCTTATTTCTAGAGAAACCTAAAAGGCTCCACAAAAAAAAAAAAAAAAAAAAAAAACCTATTAGAGCTGATAAAAAAATTTGGCAGTAAAGCTGCAGGGTACAAAATCAACATACAAAAATCAGTAGAATTTCTACATGTAAATAGTGAACAATCTGAAAAAGAAACCAAGAATGTAATCCCATTTACAATAGCTACAAACAAAATACTAGGAATAACCTGAACCAAAGAAGTGAAAGATCTCTGTAATGAAAACTACAAAACATTGATGAAAGAAATTGAAAAGGACATAAAAAAATGGAAAAGATATTCCATGCTCATGGATTGGAAGAATCAATATTGTTATTAATAAAATGTCCATAATGCCCAAAGGAACCTAGAGTTCAATGTAATCTCCATCAAAATACCAATGATATTCTTTACAGAAATAGAAAAAAAATTCTAAAATTTATGTGGAACCACAAAGGACCCAGAATAGCTAAAGCCATCCTAAGCAAAAAGAACAAAACTGGAAGAATCATACTAGCTGACTTCAAATTATAATACAGGGTTGTAGTAACCAAAACAGCATGGTACTGGCATAAAAACAGACACATAGACCAATGAAACAGAATAGAGAACCCAAAAATAAATCCACTCATCTATAGTGAACTTATCGTCAACAAAGTTGTCAAAAACATACAGTGGGGAAGAGACATACAGTCTCTTCAATAAATGGTGCTAGGAAAACTGGATATCCATATGCAGAAGAATGAAATTAGATCTTTACCTCTTGCCATATACAAAAATCAGGTAAAAATGGATTAAAGACTTAAATCTAAGACCTGAAACTACTAAAAGAAGACACTGGGGAAACACTTCAGGACACCGGTCTGGGCAAGGACTTCCTGAGTAATACCCTCAAAGCCCAGGCAACCAAAGCAAACTTGGACAAATGGGAACACATCAAGCTAAAAAACTTCTGCACCACAAAGGAAACAATCAACAAAGTGAAGAGATGACCCATAAAATGGGAAACAATATTTGCAAACAACCCATCTGACAAGGGATCAATAACTAGAACATACGAAGAGCTATAACAACTCAATAGGAAAAAATCAAATAATCTGATTTAAAAATGGGCAAAGGATCTGAAGAGACATTTCTCAAAAGACATACAAATGGCCAACGAGTATATGAAAGAATGCTTATCATTTGTTATCAGAGAAATACAAATCAAAACTACAGTGAGACAGTATCTAGCCGCAGTTAAAATGACTTATCGAAAAGACTGGCAATAATCAATGCTGGCAAGGATATGAAGAAAGGGTAACCCTTGTACACTGTTGGTGGGATGTAAATTAGTGCAGCCACTATGGAGAATAGTATGAAGTTTCCTTGAAAAACTAAAAATAAAACTATACCATATTACCTAGCAATCCCACTGCTAGTTATATGAGGTCTGTCCAGAAAGTATCCAGTATCCATTGTTAATATAACGATAATGGCACTGATGTAACCTGATAGCCAAGGAGAATGAACTGGAATGCACATGCATGAACAAAGACAACTTCACTATACTAGTCAGTGGGGCGCTTAATGAGCACGTTGGCCACTGCATTCAAAATGACTGAGCAAATAGAGCAACAAATCTGTATCAAATTCTGCGTTAAGCCTGAACATTCCTTGGCAGAAACTATTCGTATGATTCAAAAGGCTTTCGAAGACGATGCAATGAGTGCAGTGAAAATAAAAGTGTGGCACAAATGCTTCAAAGCTGCTCGAGAATCTACTGAAAGTTATCCATGTTCTGGAAAGCCTGCAGCAAATAGAACACTTGAGAATGGTGAACACGTACGGGTTAGGTTAAGTGACGCTGGGAGAACTGCGTGAGGTCCCAAAGTGCCTACTTTGAAGTGCACTGAAGCATCATTGTCCTATATACAATGTTTCTTGTATCTTCTATCTTCTTCAGTAAGTGTTTCCATCTTTCATATTACATGCCGGGATACTTTCCCGACAGATGTCCCATATCCAAAAGAGGGGAATTCAGTATTATCGAAAAGATATCTGCACTCCCATGTTTATTGCAGCACTATTCACAATAGCCAAGATTTGGAATCAACTTAAGTGTCCCATGGTGGCTCGGACCTGTAATCCTAGCATTCTGGGAGGCCAAGGCAGGAGGATTGCTTCAGCTCAGGAGTTTGAGACCAACCTGAGCAAGAGTGAGACCTCATCTCTACTAAAAATAGAAAAATTAGTCAGGTGCCATGGCACATACCTATAGCTCCAGCTACTCCGGAGGCTGAGGCAGGAGGATCACTTGAGACCAGAAGTTGGAGGCTGCATTGAGCTATGACACTGCCACTGCACTCTACCCAGGATGAGAGTGAGATTCTGTCTCAAAAAAGTAAAAAAAATAAAAAGGAAACTGAACTCTCTTTCTCACTCCCCCCTTCATTTAAAAAAAAAAAATCAACCTAAGTGTCCATCAATGAATGAATGGATAAAGTGGATAAAGAAATTGTGGTAAATATATTCAATGGACTAGTATACAGCCATAAAAATTAATGGAATTCTGCCATTTGCAACAACATGGACAGAACTGGAGAACATTATGTCAATGAAATAAGCCAAGAACAGAAAGACAAATCTTGTATGTTCTCACTCTTATCTGGGAGCTAAATATTAAAAATAACTGATCTCATGGAGACACAGAGTAGAACAATGGTTACCAGAGGCTGAGGAGGGGACATAAAGTAGGGATGGTTAATGGTTGCAAAAATATAGACAGAATGAACAATATCTGATAGTATAACAAAGTGACGATAATCAACAATAAGTTAGGATATACATCAAACTAACTAAAAGAATGGAATTAGAATGTTTCTAACACAAAGAAATGATAAATACCCAAGGTGATAGATATTCTAATTACTCTGATTTGATTAATTCATATTGTATGCCTGTATCAAAGTATCATATGTACCCTATAAATATATACAACTATTCTGTACCCATAATAATTAAAAATTTTTTAAAAATTAACCATGCAACTACCATACTTCCCAGTAATTGTACTCCTGGGCATTTATCCCAGTGAAAAGAAAACTTATGTTCACACCAAAACCTGTACATAAATGTTCACAGCAGTTGTGTGGAAACAACCCAGATGTCCTTCAATGGAGGAATGATTAAATAAACTATGGTACATCCATACTATGGAATACTACTTAGAAACAAATCAAACAGTATACAACAACCTGGATGAATCTTCAGAGAATGATGCTAAGTGAAAAAAGACCCCAAAAAGTTGCATGTTGTATGATTCCATTTATATAATATTCTTGAGATGACAAAATTATAAAAATGAAGAAAAAATTACTGGTTATCAGGTGTTAATGACAGGGATATGGAAGTAGGAGGAAAGTGGTATGGCTATGAAAGGCTAACAGTAGAGATTCTTTTGGTGATATAACTATTCTATGATTTCACTATATTAATGTCAATATTCTGGTTATGATATTTTACTATGGTTTTACAAGATGTTACCATTGGGGAAACTAGGTAAAGGGCATATGATACCTCTATTATTTCTTAAAACTGCATGCTATACTATTATTATATACTACAATACTATCATTACAAAATAAAAAGTTTAACTAAAAAATATACTAAGTGATAATTCTGTTTAATATATGAGGAAACAATTTCATCAAGTTTCAGTATAATTGCCCAAGGTCATATACTACCAGCAAATCATAGAAGCAGAATTCAAATTATGCCAGACTCCCGAAAAAGTCAGATTTACTCAACAGCATTTAGGGTATAACTAAGCATCTATTGAGTGCTGGGATTATGGATTCAAAAATTTAAAAGTCAATGTTCATATGTTACTATAGAGGATACACGTGAACAGGTAACTACACTAAGAGAAATTATGTATACACAAGGCCAAGTACTAGCACTGCTGACAGATAAAAAGTGAGGATGCTCGGTTAGGTGGGTGAGGACAACCATTAACAAGCAGGGAAATAAGAGACTCAGATTGACCTTTTAAAAAGATCACTCCAGGAAGGTCCTGGAGCACTGGAAGGCACCATGAATGCAGCAGGGGTATGGATTACAAGCCTCCTCTAAATAAGCCAGAAGGGGGATGGTAAGAACAGAACTAAAACAGATGCTTTGGGAATGCAGATGACCTTCTGGATAGCTATGCCTTACTATGCCAGGAAATAAAAGACGAAGGAAATGTGTAGTTAAGGAACAAGAAATTAACTGCATTTTAGAGATGTTGTCTTTGAATTATCTGTTGAACTTCAGGACAGATATCTACCTAGTCAATTAAATATATGACTCTGGAACTCAAAAGAAAGATATTATTAGACTAGTTATGGATATTTTGGAATCAATAGTTATAGTACATAGAAAAACATATGGAAATAGAAGATCGCTCAGGGAGAAAATGTAAAATGAGAAGGGAAACCGGTAATAGGATGAACTTAATTCAAGAAAGCATTCATTTAGAAGGAATGGTGGCTGGATATCAACCTAATTCAAAAAAAGAGACAACTCTTATAAGTAATTTATACAGAAATTCTTAAAAAGAAGTGTATTATTTGTGGTGTGGTGGTAAAAGAGCTGTTTTACTATTAATATATAAACTTTTTTTTTCTTTTTTAAAGAGATAGGGTCTTGCTCTGTCACCCAGGCTGCAATGCAGTGGTGCAATCATAGCTCACTGCAGCCTCAAACTCCTGGGCTCGAGGGATCATCCCACCTCAGCCTCCCAAGTAGCTGGGACTACAGGCATGCACCACCACACCCGACTAATTTCATTTTTTGGTAGGGAAGGGGTCTCACTATACTGCCCAGGCTGGTCTCAAATAATTCTCCTGCCTCGGCCTCCCCAGGTGTTGGGATTATAGGTATGAGCCACAGCGTCTGGCCTTATTTTTAATTTTAGAAATGAATCAGAATCCTGATAATCATAAGGGAATAGAATTCTCCTATGCCAATGTTTTTGGTTGTGCATTACTTGACATTCTTAATTTTTCTTTCTCACTACTGAAGACTGATTAGATCATTTTCGAAAATGATGAACTAGGAAATAGCTATTGAACATATTGTGCAATGTATTTTCTTACAGTTGTGTGCAAGCTTCACAGAAGAAATACCTTTCCAACAATTATTAAGTTTATATCAAATCAAAATGGTCAGTGTTTGAAAATGGAGACAGGTGTTTCTTTTTTGTCCTTTTTAAGATAGTGGAGGAAATTCCAAATTAAGAATCCTTTGTAAGAATGGATTTTTGGAAGAATATGAAAAGAATGGTTTAAATCTGGTTTTTGAACATCTCTGTCCCTGTGATTACACTAAGACGTTTTCTCTCTCCAGATAAAATTCAACCTATTTTGATGAGTTTTAAAGGAAAAAGTCTCCAATGTAAATTTTAAAAAATGATTCAGTGTGAAAGAACAAAAGAATAAAAAATTCTGCTGACAATCACAGAGATCTAGAGTACCATAAGCATGCCCAAAATACAACTGAGATTTCTGTTTCTCTTTTTTCCCTATCCTAATAAAAGAAGGATATTCTCCAAGTAGGTATGGAACCTTACATAATATAGCATTATAGTCACTCATGTCTTGGTATATGAATTCATTCTCTCCTTGTTTGGTTGCTAAAGGAAAAGCAATATGGTAATTCAAATGAAGTAATTAGCTTAATGTTCCCCTTCTTTTTCTTTTTATGAAGATCATTTCTTGAAATGGTTTTCCCCTTTTAACATTAGTTTATTCACATGCTTTAACTCTGAGTTTCAGGTTCCCATGACAGAACATTCAAGATGAAAGGAAAAGGTTAAGAAGTCAGAGTACAGTTGTTAAGTTAGCAAAATTCATAACAGCAAACAATGGGTAGTAGACTTCTCAAAGGAAAGTAATGAACTGAGGAAAAAATAAATCCCGAATATGACGCAAACCTTTTCCATTCCTATACACAAAGAGATAATATTTTAGCTATAATAGCTTTAACAGGTAACAATGCAAATGGGTTTAAAATGGAGAATAGATCTTTTAAATAAAAATCCTGCAATTTCATTATGGGTAGGAAGAAGTAATTTTGCTGTCATGTAAACATAACAGAAACAAATCCATACACAAAAAACGAGCCTGGAGTGTTCTAACTTCTTTTTAAAGTAGATGAATAGAGGAGGGATTTTTAATGTGCTTACACACATAATCATAAGGAATATGAAGACAGTCATCACAGTTTTCCATCTTGCCACATGATGATTCCATTCTCTAGATCCTCAGCTTAACTGTACAGTCAGTAATGTCAATGTTTTCAACTATCAAATTAGGGAAGAAAGATTTCAACAGGGAAACATTTTAGGATCCTCCTGGAAACCTCATTACAAACCCTGTGAATTCCCAACAGACTAAGTGACACATATGAATCCAGAACCAAAAATATGTCAAACAGTCCCAGGTAAGTGAAGATGTAGTAGGAAGTACATACTTTTTTCCTAAAATTCTAGTAGTGGTATGTTAAAATATAGTAGAACTGTTTCACATCAAAATTTCAGGCACAGCCAAATTCCTCTTTCCCTAAGAAATAATCCCCCCAACAGACAGTAAAGAAATAGTCTCATATATGGTTAGACAACACGATGGGGATTCTTTCTACACCCCAATAATATTAATATTACAAAGCTCTTACTCTACACATGAATGAGCATAGTCAGTTAACTGAAAGAAAAGTAAAATCTCCGACTAAGCAAACTACAGGTAATGAGAAGTGACTGTCAATTTGTTTCAGAACCAAAAATGCATCAAGTTTCATAACAA